CTTCGGCAAACCGACCGATGTTCTGAGGTTCAGTCGGTTCCTGCATCAGCGCCTGCCAGACCGTTCAAGCCGAGTCCTCCTGAGCGGCCGCCGGGGACCCGAGCTTCGACCCGAAAACCAGGCAGGGCGCAGAGGAGGGGCCCGACCCCCTCGCGTCTCGAAAGCACACAACGTGAAGTATGGGAGTGTGGGGTCATGCTCGGCCTCTGGGGGCCCTTTTCCGGGACCCGGGGACCGTCCCTGGAAAGAGGTCAGCAAAAAAAACGGCGTCGGAGGTGTCGGTCCCGCTGAGGTTCGCCCGTGAAGGAAGTCCCGACCAAGCCAAAGAGGAAAGGAGGAGAGGAGCAGGAGGCGGGGGGGAGGCTTCGTCTGTACGACCCTGCAGCCATCAGGGACCAGGAATCAGGAACCAGCAGAGAGGGAAGGCAGGTCACCAAAGAAGGCGGAGGACTGTGAGAAGGACGTGGAGAAAGAGGACGACGACGGCGCCGACGACGACGACGACGACGACGACGACGACGACGACGATGACGACGACAGAGAGGATGGACTGAATGGGGACCATACTCCAACAGAACAGTATTGTAGCCCTGATGGTCGACACATTGCGGACTGCAGAACATGGATTCCAACCCAGACTCCAACCAAACCAAAAAGGAGATTGCTGCCTGGATCTGGCCACAGCGCTTCCTTCCTCGAGGGGTACATCCGAATCTGCCCGAACGAAGAAAATTGGAGGCTTAGAAATTGACACCAACGCCAACACAGGGCGTTGCCTGCACCAGGGGAAGATGATTCTAGATTTCGGTGTTGGTGGAAATCCTTCGGCCGACTAGGAAGCCAGAATAATACCACCATCACCGAGATTGGGATACTCTTCCCTCGGTGGAGGCACAAGGCCGATTTTGGTGTTGGTGTCAACCTCTAGGCCTCCGACAGAAGGAGAGTAGCAAAGGGATGATCAGCGAACTGGCTCACGCAGCTGTCTCTCCTGGCGGCTCCTGGCCGATTTTGGTGTTGGTGTCAACCTCTAGGCCTCCGACAGAAGGAGAGTAGCAAAGGGATGATCAGCGAACTGGCTCACGCAGCTGTCTCTCCTGGCGGCTCCTGGCGCCAGGGGCGGCCGTGTATCGAGGAAAGCGCACGGCGGCGGAGCCGAACCCTCTTTTGATGGGCCCGTCTCCAACACCACTACCATAGGTACGAGAGGAAGGAGGAGGAGGAGGAGGAGAAGGAGGAGGAGGAGGAGGAGTTGTTTTGAAATCGGCAAGGTGCCCGTCGGGGACGGGGAACAATCAACGTGAGACGAACTGGCCGAAAAGCAGCAGCACAACACCTTGGAAACAGCGTGTTCTACCGCTGCTGGCGGAAAACCGGGGGGGGGTCACTACCGGTTCGAACCCCTCCCCCCCCCCCTCCGGAAAACCGGGGGGGGTCACTACCGGTTCGAACCCCTCCGCCCCCCCCAGTCCATCATGAAAAGGGGGGGGGTCACTACCGGTTCGAACCCCCCCCCCCTCGAAAACCAAGGGGGGGTCACTACCGGTTCGAACCCTCCCCCCCTTCGAAAACCGGGGGGGGGGCGGACAGTGGTGGGGACGGTGGTGGTGGGGACAGTGGTGAGAGGACAGCGAAACAATGGTGGGGACAGTGGGACAGTGGTGGGGACGGTAGTGGTGGGGACAGTGGTGAGGACAATGGTGGGAACAGTGGGGACAGTGGGACAGTGGTGGGGACGGTGGTGGTGGGGACAGTGGTGTGGGGACAGTGGGAATGTGGCGGAAACAGTGGGACAGCGGAGGGCACAGTGGCGGCGGGGACAGTGGTGAAGGGGGTGGCGAGGACGGCGGTGGGACAATGGGACAGAGGTACTGTGGGGACACTGGTGGGGACAGTGGGGGGATAAAAATAAAATAATAATAAGTGGAGAAAAAACAAAAAAAAAAAAAAAATAAAAAAAAAAAAAAGAAAAAAAAAGTGGTGGGAACAGTGGGACGGCTCAGTGGGACAGCGGAGGAGTCAGTGGGACAGTGGGGACAGTGGGGATAGTCGGGCAGTGGTTGGGGCCGTGGAGACAGTGGGGAGAGTGGAACCGTGGTGGGAACAGTGGTGAGGACAGTGGGGACAGTGCGACAGTGGTGGGGGCACTGGTGGGGACAGTAGGGACGGTGGTGGAACCAGTGGGGACAGTGGTGGTGAGGACAATGGTGCTGGGAACAACAGTGGGGGATGTGATGCGGACGGTGGTAGGGACCGGGAGTCGTTTGCTGGCGGTGAGGGGGGTAGGGGGTTGGGAGGGTTTGTTCGGAATGGTAGTGACCCCCTCCGTTTGTTCGAGGTTTCGGGGGGTCGAATCGGTAAGTGACCCCCCCGCGTTTTCGAGGTGTGAGGGGGGGAGGGGTTAAGGGGAGGGGTGGGGTTTTGCCGGGGATGGGAGGGGGGGGGGGTTTCCAGCAGGGGGGGGGGTCGGAGGGGGGGGGGACCCCCGTGTTCCGGAGGAAGAGGGGGGGGAATTTTCCACAGTAAAGCGGCGGTGGAT